TAAACAAACTTGCACTTTTGGGAGTAATACTCAGGCTCATCAATATAGCCATTGAAGTCAACTCCTGTGATTAAGAGTTTTCTCCACGAACACACGTCTCACCCCCTGCAGTGTCACCAGGGCTGTCCTTAGGATATATGGTGCCCTACACGGGATTATTAAACTGGTGCCCCTATGCCTAGGTTTGTCGAGCAAAAAAAAAAAAAAGGAACCCACCAATACATTAAAATCACATTCCTCCCCAAGACCTCACTCCTTTGAGGCCCCATCCTCTCTGTTCCCCTCCTCTCCATCACTTGCTATCACCAGCCATTATACATTCTCACTTGGTTGAGAGAGGAGGTGTGGGCTCCTGGGTGGGAATGAGGGATTTGAATACTGTGTCACGTCTTGAATACTGTGTACAGATGTGGTCCTGGGAGGAAATTTGAATGCAGGAGAAGGGGATGCTGGCTCAGGGAGGGGGCTCCAGGCTCGGGAGTATTGGGCTCAGGTGGAAGGTTAGGTTCCAAGCAAGTCACAGGCTTGTGGATGTGGGAGTGCAGGAGTTTGTGTTAGATATGTGAAGGGCTCAGGGCAAGGAGGCTGAGAGTATGACAGGCTCAGGACACAAATTTGTGATGTGTGGATGGTGCAGGAGTGTTGTGGCAGAAGACTGAGGATGTGGGGATGCAGGAGTTTGGGGATATAAGAGGCTCAGATTTGGGGTCAGATGGTACAGGAGTGTTATGATGCTGCAGTGAGATGGGGATTTGGCCCCAATTGGGGGCATGTTGGCCAGGCTTCATTTTTAAATAAAATATTATGTCAAACTGAAAAGGTTTTAGCATTGTCTTTATATAGGAGAGGGGCAGGGAACCTGTTTTGAGTCAAGGGTCACTGACCCACAGAAAAGTCAGTTGGGGCCACACAAGTGAGAAGCCAAAAAACAAAAACAAACCCCAAGCCTCACTAATGCAGTCTCAAGGATGCTGGCAGGGTGCTGGAGCCAGGGACAGGGTGGTGCTGGGTGCTGGGGACAGGGTACTTGTGGAGAGTCTTGCCAGGGGACAGGGGCAGCTGGGACCAGTACCTGGCAATCCTGCAGCACCTCTGGGAACTGTGCGACTGCACTCCCCCTCCCCAAACAGCCGGCATGCGAGCTGCCTGAGCAGCAGGGGCTGTTGCGCCCCAGCAACTTACCTCCACGATGCCATCCTGTGAGGAGGGGGGAGGGTGCGGGGAGTCCCAGGAAAGTGAAGCTCTGCCCCCCCGGGAGGAGTTGTCAGCACAGCATTGTCACCCTTGTAAGCCCCGTAACCTCTTCCAGTTCCTTCCCTGAGCTCTGTACCCTCTACTTCCTGCCCGGACTCCTGCTCCCCCACCTCCCTATCCTGAGCCCCCCCATCAGACCCTGTGCCCTGAATCCACCCCTCCTGCTCTCACTCTATCACCTTCTGCCCTTAGCTGCCCCCACAAACCTTCCAGCCCGATGCCCCCACATCTTAACCCCTACCCCTTACCAAGAGTCCCCCATATCTCTGCCCTGACTCCAGCCCTGTAATCTTATACTCCAACCCTAACGCCCCGCACCAAACCCTGTGCCCTCAACCTCCCACATCCTGCCTTCCCAGCTGGCTGCCCCGTTCTCCCCCTTTTCCCTCCTGATCTTCCCC